GAGGAAGCACTGGCCAGTGGGAAGAAGGAAGTTGACATAGTTAATAGTTTCTTTTGTTAAATAGGATTTTGTGTTGGTGTTTTGTTTTGTCAGTGTTTGGCTTCTATTTAGTTATTCTCTTATTTTCAGATAAATTGTGTTTCCACTTTAAATTGTTAAAAAAATAATTTGTTAGTTTTTCTAACTTCCCTTCTTTTTTTCTTCATTCTCGATTTTCAATTATAATTGTTACTCCCCTCATCCCTTAGGCATTTCGGGGAACGTAACAGCCGGGCTATTACTTGACGTTTTACAACACTTACAGAATTATATCACAGGAATCTTCTTTGTGTTTTACCATAAAATCCCAGTTCAGTATAGAAAAAACATCTACAGAAAGATATATCACCATATTTTTGTAAGTAAAGTGGTAGTTTCCTGAGAAAGTAGGGGAATTTACTGTTAAAGTATACACACACATTTTACAGCTTTCAATATGTCTTCTGTTCTAAGTTAAGTAAATCTCATATGGTATAAGGACTAGAGCTTGTATAGATCTTTTCCAGTCTTCTGACTGCTCAAAGCGCTTTTTATACCATATGTCACACCTACCCATTCACACACTGATGGTAGAGGCTGCTATGTAAAGTGACCATCAGTAACTAATTCCATTCATACACGAGCATACGCTGCTGACGAAGCAGCGAGAGCACCTTGGGGTTGAGTGTCTTGCCCAAGGACACATCGGACATGTTGCTGCAGGAGCTGGGGATTGAACACCAGACCTTCCAGGGTTAAGAGACACAACTGAGCCACAGCCGCCCCTCATAGAGATCCCACTTCTAAACTGTGCCCATGACCTCGCCCTTTATTGTGTGCCTGGAGGGCACTACCAGGCTCAGTCCAGTAGCTCACTGCGTAATGAGTTGCTGTCTTTGTTTATCTGAGGCTGTATGCACACAGAATGTGGGCGCAAACTCAATAAAACCCCAGCAACCATTAAACAACACAGTGTTCTTAGTATTTTGAGCCCTCTTGTACTTCAACAAAAACACTCTGACAACAGGAAAACACACACATGCACGAGCACACACACACACACAAGTATGAGCCTCCATAGTAAGGCTCAAGCTCCTGTGACCTTTAACAATTGACTTTAGAACAGATGACCCCTGTAAACTCAGTAAGACGACTTTCTGCAGCACTGAAAGTCTAAGTCAAAGCTCAGACTGAACCCCGACCTTCACCTTTGTCAAACTAAACATTTTAATACATTTAAATGTATCGTTGGTGTATATATAAAATAACTCAATTGTATGGGAAAGACATAAATACTGACAGCATCTCCATCAGTTCACCTTGCTGGCAACAGTGTGACATTTAGCCAGCTAATCAATGTCCCCCACACTGCTCCAACTCCCTGATGTTTAAGCCCAGCTCATCAGTGCAGACAGAGAACAGCATGCATCCTAATCAGAGCGGCTACAGTTGGAGCAGGGAGGACACTCATGACAGCACTGAGCAATGCTATTTAAAGGTGACAAATATAATCACTGGTTTAGGTTACCTTGATGGCAACAAAGTCTTCTATTGTGAGAGAAACAAAGATTATGTTAAGAGTTCAGGGGGGGAGTTTTACTTTGGTATTAGTCATACAAAATACAATGTCAATTATGCACAAACAGATTTTTTGTATCATCTGTGTGCACTTACCCATCCATTTTGTTATGAACAGACTGGTCACTGATGGAGTTCAGCACGTAGATGTCCTAGATTCTCCAGACGCTCCTGTTCTTGCCTTTGCAGGAAACAGCTGGGATAAACAGACATAACAGATTTAAAGGGGTATCAAGTATTCTGGCGATTGTTTCTTGTTACAATAAAGCAACAGCATCTTCACAAAGTTTTGAAAAATAAATATGATTATGGAAAACTCTGTGCCAGTCATTCTTCTACCAATTTAAGTCATGATGCTTAAGTCAGATGTATTCATGTATACTCTTTCTTAAATCTCTCCACCAGTCATTTTATGGAGGGCCTTTGTAGTTCTGTGATCAACATGTTAAGAAAACTGAACTCCAGAAGGGGACAAGTCAGAAACGAACTAAACTTTGTTGAATTGCACCATCTAGTGACTGACTGGGTACAAAAAAAAAAAAAAAAAGGCTGCAGGCTTATTTTGACACTGCAGGGCCCTGTCGAGTTGAATTTATCAGGAGAAAATGACGTAGTTATGGAGTTAGGAGATGTCATCTTTTGACAGAAATTAGCACTCAAGAAGCAACGGGGGGGGGGGATAAACGAAACAGACACTGGACGGTTCCCAGGAAAAATTGTATCGGCTACTTACAATGTCTTTGAATAAGGTCTGGTAGATACGTCACCAGAGGTAGCCTTTATGTAGGCTACTTATATGTTTTAATCGAGAATTTTTTTTTAATGATTCAATTAGACACTTTGCCGTACAGAAACATATAGTCCATATTACACAAGATTCACGTTAGAAAGCTACGTGTTCTTGCAGGACCTCGTGGCGCAACGGTAGCGCGTCTGACTCCAGATCAGAAGGTTGCGTGTTCAAATCACGTCGGGGTCAAACATTTAATGCCACAGAAGAGATTTTCTGGCCTTTGAGCGACTATAAAATCTAAAGGGAGAACTAGGAAGAGCAGTTTTCATCAATATCGCACTGTCATGAATTTATAAATATGAGGACAAAATAAAATAGAGAGGAACTCTTCTTTCAATACATACGGGTATACTTGGATTTTAAAAGCCTATTGTGACTATGCAAGCTTTCACCCATTTCATCTGCTACAAATGCAAGTATATATATAAAGTAGGCCTACTGGGAAAATAATGTAAACAACAAAGATTCCTTAAGAGCCTTGAAACATAAGAGACATAATATAAGTCCTGAACAGGTGTAAGAGATTAATGGATGAGTGTCAGCTAGTAACCTCAAATTTGATTTCAACTCCAACTTTTCCGTTTGCCTTTCAAACCAAAACTCCTTGTTTTGTGTTTGAGAACATTTTAATGCTGAATATGCTGCCATGGTGTATCAAGTTTAGAGCACAATTAAACTGTCACTGTTCCCTCCTTGTGATGTCTGGTCATGATAATAACAAGCAGGGAACATTCCAGCAGTATATTCTTTCAAAAATGATCTCCACTGCCAGACATGTTGACTCTAAGCTAAGAAATTAGATAACAAAATAATAATATGCATAGCTAATCTGCTATTATGCATTCAGGAAACATGTTGAATATGTATGTACCTTTTTGGTCCAGCAGCCAGCTCCCAAGTGAGAAAGTAATCCTGGATTGTCACAGTGCAGGTGTTTCCTTTCATCTGTAAATACACTTTACTCTTGTCCTGTATATTTTCTCTCTGTGCTCTCTGTCTTTAAGATTTTTTCTCCCCCTCTCCTCTCTGCTTAAATGCTTCCTCACAAAAACAATTTGCAGTTCTCCCTCCCTCTCTCGCTCACTCATGCCAAGTTTCCCTAACTGCACCTCCTTTCTCGCTTTCCTAAAGCCGGTCTCTCATCTTTCACTGATGAACACACACACACACACACACACACCCCTGGTGGTAGACAACAGGTCATGTTGAGTCCTCAGGAGCTAACTCACATGAGATGCTCCTTAGCAGCACTCTACTTTCTATCACAATGGTCTGCTTGTGCTCTGCAGCTCTCATTTTACATCAAACAGGTCAGTGAGTGTTCAGATGCAGCGCTCTGCTCCAAGTATCACATTGTTATCTCTGTGTGTGAACAAGGACATACTTTAAAGGTTTTTTTTTTGTTTGACTTACAAGAAAGAGAGGTTAAACGCTTCAAACAAAGAGAAAAGCCTAAAATTTCACTGTCACAAAGTAGTCCAAATCCTACGAAAGAAACCACACTTTTCCAAGTGCCCCCTTGTGCCCCTTACTTTTAAATGCCAGGCTAAAATGTCCCCATTGAGAGCAGGCCAGTGGGAGGGAGGGATGTGGGAGGACAACAGAACAGTCAGCAAGGAGTCTGTATTGAGTAGCTTGTTGAAGAGAGTATTATTACACTGTGCGAGCTCAAATACAAGGCTGTAAACAAACCCTGTTTCCAAAGTAACAAAGCTGAATGTCTCTTTCTGTACAAAATCTAAGCTACTGCTGAGAGGAGAAATGAAATGAGGGGGGGGGGGGACAGTGGTGGCACTGGGGCTGGCTACACCCAACAGCAAAGAGTCCTATTCAAATTGTTTTATTGTGATTACGGAATCAGCTAACAATTTGACATTTTTTTAAATGGATGTAACATCAATTAACCAATCTGACGTTTGATCTTTGTTTTTGTTGTTTTCATGTTGTGAGTACCACATAAGTAGAAAAACGCCTTAAAGGTAAAATGACTTTCTTCTCCCTCAGTCTGACTAGAAGGCAGTCATTCTGGTCGCAGAGAGAAGAAATAATAGATGAAGTGAAATGCAAGAACTGGAAAACTAGCCGTCACTAAGGCTGGGACACAGAGTACAGGAGTCTCCACAAAACAAGAAACTTAACAGAAGTTCTTCTCCTCATCTTAAACATCCACACAGATCAATATTTGACAATATTAACAAATCACATGCTTCAGGATAGTAATAATGTATGTGTGTCAGAGTACCACTTCAAGTGACCCCTCTCTGTAATGATGCTTTGTAGTAAAAAGAAGATGATGATGATTTGACCCATTAGTTATCTGTGAACGTAAGTGTGCTAGCTTACATTTGCCATAAGGGCCACAATATGTTCTGATTTGTACTGAAGCTCAGGCGTCATCTCTCTCTCTCTGCTTGGCTATCATAGTCCTCCTCTGGGCCTTACATCAGTACCAACAGTCGGAGCTAACAAGATTCCTCTCCTGATTGTCGGGGAAGAATAAATTCTACTGAAGTCTAAAATGTTAGAAACAGGCTTTCAAAGATTTCAGGATAAAAGAGGCAAAATATCAACCTGAAAAGCAACCCAGAATAAATGTTGTTAAGTGCCATAATCCATAATAAGGTAATAATCATTTATTACACAAAAATACAAAAATATTAAGAGATGTTAGGATTTTTGGTTCAAAATCAAAACCCATACAGTTCAAAGCAAGTCCTGATTTGCCCTGGTTCTACTGAAGGGTAAAAGTATAAAGCCAAAAAAAAAAGACAGACAATCTAAAAAGAAAAACAAACAAACAAAGCTTGCTCTCTGTCTCTAAAAAAACCAACAAAAAAAATCAAGTATATGATCCCTTTAAGTGCTGTTCGTCTACATCTCCGGGCTTACTTCTGCCTCCTATGCGTCTAAAAAAGGATCTGATCCCAGAGGTGCTCACTTGCCCCTCTTCATGACTGTCTGTCTTACTGCCGAGCAATAAACAGTCTCCTCCTGCTTCTTTCAAAACTTCAGTCCTTGATCCAGAGGAGTGCGACCTTTGAGAAGAGCTTCTCTGGAACAGTTCTCCCAGTCGAATCAGGGATGCTGGAGAGCGCTTGGTTTCATCAACAGAAACCGACCTGATGATTGGACCCCGTGACGCAGCTCTCTTATTCGGGCACTCAGGAAGAGACGCAGAACCTCCAGATGGAGATGTTTGAGTACCACGGTTTGAGGAATTGCTCTCCCAGACTCCATCGTCTTTGTCATCTCCACCTGATGATGAGGGTCTTGTGCGATGTTGAGCTTGTCTGTTTCGTGAGGTTGGGTTTCCTTGAGAGGAGGTTAAAGGGCTCAGGATAGTCCACGGGGAGGTTGGATTGTTGGCAAAGCAATAGTGTCTAACTCTGGATTGTGGGGTTCTTGGGGAAGTGTTTGTGTCTTTGGGCCTCTCTGACTGTCGAGGAGTGCCCTGAACTCTGTCCCCATCAAAGCTGTTTTGGTAGCGGAGCACCTTACGAGTAATCTCACGAATCTTCTCGGCTTCGTCTTTGTTGTCCAGAAGTTGCTCCCCCTCTCCCTGCAGTTTAGGATGCTTCTTCTCGGGCCGCTCTTGTCCAGAGCTGGGCAAAGCTTGTGTTTTTTTTACTGGTGAAACAGTCTTAGAACTGCCCGCAGAGGGGGATCCTTCGATTGAGGGCAGCATTTCCTTCTTCCTGCATCTGGTCAATCCCTCGGGAACAGTGGTGAGGAAGCTCTGTAAGACCGACTCTAGGCTGGAGTCGTCGTTTTTAGGGTCGGGTTTGGAGCAGGACACAGTTGAGCGACGTTTGGCTGCAAAACGCACGCTCTCCCTCCGCTTGTGCCTCTCCTCGGCTTCTTCTCGCATTTGGTTGTCCTACAGATATTCAAAAAAAAATAAAAAAATCAGTGGATACAAATAAGACTAATAATAATTTGGAGAACTTCAACAAATTGAGGGTGTCATTTTTACATACAAACTAATACTTTAATGTTTACATGTGATGCAGTTTATTCCATAGCTCTTATGAGTATGATTATATTTCTTTTTTTCCTTTCTATGCTTACCTGTACCGCTGATTCAAACCGCTTGCAAAATGAATGAAAGATGGAGCAGCACTCCTCCAGTTTGAAGGTAGCAGGGTCTTCACAGTAGTATTCAGCAACATGGTTGCTCACAATATTTAGCTCCTGGACGAAGGACTCAACATCGGCCAGTTTGGCCTCTGCCCTCTGAGAAATGACGACATAAAAAGGAATGATTGAGGAGAAATCCAAAATGTATAACGTCATAACAGGCACTTTTGTGAATTGGCTTTACAATTTGGTGCCTTTATGCAATAAAAGGTCAATAAAAAAGCAGCAACGTTACCAGGAAAAATGTCTCCATTTGTTGTAAGAGGCCAGGATGTTTGCTGCTGTATAATTTCACTTCTTTGATCTTCTTGGCTTCTCTCTCATAGTCTGAAATGACCTCCTCTTTACAAATTCTGTCATAGCAACATTTATAAATTAGAAAGATGTTTTTTTTTTAAAAGGCAATACTTCATAGTGAATCAAACCAACAGAAATCAATATCACTCTGAAACTGATGAGAAAGCATCTAAACAAAACCATGTTCAGATAAATAACTCAATAGATTATCAGTGAACTAGTGACCTTGCTGCCTTGCCGATGTGTTCTAGCTGGCTGGGAAAAGTCAGCAACTCAGTGTCGATTTCCTCTGCTTGCTGTGGGTGGAGACAAAGGAGGGAAACTATTGTAAATAAAAAGACAGAGCGTAGAGAAAAAGCATGGCAGCATTCTTTTTCATACAAACCATCTATTCATCACAATGCTCTCCCTCACCTTGGCAACATAGTGCATGAGGTCCATGCCCGGCTTGTTGGCCTTGGTGTCTGCCAGCTTGAGGAGAGAGGTCATCCTGAAGCCAATGGCATTGGCACTGTAACCACCCTGTGTAATCAATCATATGAATAGTCAATTCAGAGGTGAAATAAAGACTGAGTAAAACGATTCTGACAGGGGAACTTAAATGCATTAGATATTTTACTGAAGTGGATTTTATAAAACCATCATTCTTAAAGAAAAATACCAACAGCGTTCATGTAATTCCCAGCTTTTAAGACCAGCCGAATGACTGAATGGAGGTCATCACAGTCCAACAGCTCTAAGTAGAAAAAAAAGAGTCATGTAGACAAAAATAATTGAGGGAAAAAAAAAAGTATACATGTGTGTTAACTGTTACCATTAGCTCCTTTAGTCATGACAGCAACAGAGTTTTTCACCTCGTCCATTAGAGGAAAGAATTCCTCCCTCAGCACCATCGCCTTCAGGCGTTCCTCATAGCTGTAGACGGAACACATCATCATACCTTTTAATATAGACACCAGCTGTGAGATTTATTCGTTATTTCCACAAGTCATTTGTATGAGACTGAGCAAGAGATTACAAAAATATGAACACAAGTTTCCTTAATCTTATGATGTGCTGCATGTGAAGTCCACGGTGCATATGTGGTAGAACTTTGACTAAAATAATCTGCACACAAAGAATGTCACTCACCCCGGCACTTTGACCAGCTGCACCATGAACTGGTCAGCTTCAGGTAACACAGAGAGGTTCCCACTGAAGGATAGCAGCAGCTTCACCTGTTCATGGACACCAACAATATTAGTATGCTAACTATCTTTTTTTTATTTTTATATAGTTTACATGGGATTGGGACGTTGTTACCTCCCCGTCTTCTGGCAGCAGTTTACAAAGCTCCACTAGTTTTCCTGTTCCAAATCTGAGCCAGTTCCCTTGACGAATATCCTGCACCATCTCTGCAACTGGCCTGCAGAGGGAGACAAAAGACAACAGTAACAGTGCAGCCTTCAGTCCTGATATCAGCAGGACTTGTCAGACACATTATGTCTCGTTAAATACTGGCTGAGGAAGTATTCTGATCCTTTTTTTAGTAAAATACAGAATACACAAGTGTCCAACTAATCGGTAATAGATTAAGAACTGATCAAATAATTAAAGATAATTGATAGATTAAAGAAAATTATACTTGATGACAAGAAAAAGCACAGAACAATTAACCCAGTAACAGAAAAAAACAACAATATATGTATATTATATCTGTAGAGTGTTGCATAATTAATTTACGATTAATTGATTTCTAAACTGAGCAGTCCTTAAGCGTTAGCGTTCATTGTCAGTTTTATCAAAGGCCCATCATAACTTGTTAGTGTTAGCTGTTAAATACTTGTGTGTCATAAAAGTACAATATTTTGATCCGAAAAGCAGTACAGTACGAGTAGAAAGCAGCAAGAAAATAAGGCTACAGTAAAGTACAGGCACCTCAAATTTAACCATTTTAAATAAGAATTTATGTAAATTAACTTCTGAGTTATACTCTCTTTATTGCGGGCTCATGCTACTTCCTTTTCCAACTTTGAGATTCACATTTGTTTTCATCCTTTCAAAAGTGAAGTGCTGTTGGGAAGCCTCTACAGTGCAAACCTAACCAGGGAGGAGGAGCTGCAACAATGCAACTCAGCAAACATGGACATCAGAAAATAAATGGAGTGATCTGCTTCCTCAGACACACAGATAAAAACACAATACAATATATTATTATATTAAACAATATAATCAGCTCTCTCCGCTGCAGTAGAAAAGCAAATATTGACACTGGTTGAGGTATTGTCAACACGCCACACTTTACATGAAACACTGCTATTTTTATTGTGTGTGTGTGTACCTTCAATTTATTTTTAACTGCATCATCACTTTTGCTAAAACCACATATATGTTCATGCTATTTAAATTTAATAATATGATACAGCAAACATCATTGCAGTAGTTAGCTGCCGACACATAAAGAGAGAATTATTTGCTATTCAAAGTGAGAGCTGAGTGAACGTCAGACCGACAGTGACATCATCTTGATAAAGTTTAGACACACACAAGTGCTAAAGTCAATTTACCAGTGAACTGTTGAACTTTTTAATGAACATGGAGCTGGATTTAAAGACTTAAAGGGAATTGTTATGACCTGATCTTTCTAATAATGTTTACACTCCCCAACATCAATTATATGGAACTACCTATGGTTTGTAGTGTTAACGTTTAAAGTGCATACAGGAACTAATAACCACTGACCCCTACCCTGGTCCTCTTTTTGTAAACTCCTCTCATGCTTTCACAGCTTTAGTCTTCATTATCTCTAAGCAGAGTCGTTCTTCAATTGGCTGCCAACATTCAAGATAAGCACAGAGAAGAGTGTTTTGCCAGTAGATGGTAGGGCACCAAACCACAACTTAAATCTATACCAAGTATCAGGGTTAGGGCATTGCAGGTGAAAATGGATTTGACCTGACTCAGGCTGAACATTAAACTCACATACTCTTCACATAAAGTCAGTTTACTTTAACAAAATAGCCTCAAGAATCATAAGCTAACTAGCTCACAAACTTCTCTCCTCACTTACTGAAGTATTTTCTCATATTCCTCCTTTCTCCATAAAACACAGGGGACCAAAATGGAACATCTTACACTTAATTAAAATTACAGGGAGATGAAAATATTTGGAATAATGTCTTAGTACACACAGGCAACAGTGAGATGTACAGAAAACCCTAGAGTCACTCCGTTGGGCTCCAACAGGCGCGATTAGCCATGTGAGTGTGGGATCAGGAACATGCACTTTTGTCCCTGTTGCTACACACACAGAAAGACTTTCCATTTAATGGCAAAAACTGGCTAAAAACATGGCTACAAATGTGCCTGGTGTGTCTTCTATTCTCAGCTGTAACTCTTGGTCAGCACTATCGTTTCATATCATTCAATTTATTTAAAAAAAGGCATTTCCATTTATTTGAATATGGTCTGCTGAGATAAAGCATGGGTTATAAAAAAAACTTGGTGGAAGTGACTTACGTGTGGATATTCTTATTTCTGAATCTATGATTTGCATGAAATTATGTTTTTATGGTGAGGAGGGGTTAGGTTCCAGTTGTTAGTCCATCTGAATCACTGGTGTGTTCTTTCATAATCACTCTGTCATTCTGAACTCCCTCTTTTACTCAGGTTGAACTAATCCTTACCTCTTGAAATGTCTCAGGAAGATCCCAATATTCATACTCTTTTTGGAGTCAAGTATTGTGACCTAAAGAGACAAGAAATTCAAATTATAGTTAGCAATAAATAAAATATCCAACGTAGAACACCTGTATTTACACGAAATGACAAGTTCAAACCCAACATAATAACTCACAAGTTATTTGAGGAAGAATCCAAACACAGTTTGCATTCAGCAGTTCCTCATTGATCACACAATTAGCGGGGAACTTTCATAGAGTAGTTCCTGTAACTGAGTTCTTTACTTCCTTATCTTCATTCTGTTTAAGTTTGAATGCTCACAAACACTGGGGATGGTCTGCACCAGGTACTTCTCTAGCAAACGCTTCCAAATTGGCCTAAATGCAATCTTTGCTATTCACCTGAGGCTCCTGTGGAAAGAGGTCCAGCCCATCACTGTTCTTTAGACCCATCACCCTTGAATTGCGGATTGACGCCCGTTTGTCTACATTACTAAACAGCTCCTCTATCCTCTGGATATCCAGCACGAGGTCTCTCTGGCTCCCCATCGTTGTCCACACGTTACGTTTGCCCAGGACCCGCTGGCTGGGGATGGTGTCCCAGTTCAGCTTTTTCATGGAACGACGCTGGGCACTTCGAGAGCCAAAAGGAGAAGGAGAAGTTGGGGGAAGAGGAGGAGGAGGAGGAGGTGGAGGTGGAGGTGCTGGTGGTGGTGGTACAGAGGTGACACACATAGTGGAAGGCTTCAGAGAACATGATATGGGATATGAATCTTCCTGGGCATCAGTTGATACAGGAGATGTAGCGTTTTGAGAGGAACAGCTGGCATCAGAGGCAGGTTTCAAAATCAGCTCTCCCTCCATCTCTCAAATTTAAAGATGATGGGAGGAAGTGTCCTTCTGTTGGCCACTAAGATCTGAGGAGATACAGAATAAATTAAATTTGTATTAGCTATTCTAGACAATATCGATGAGCAGAAGATATTTAATATCATATTTTTGCAAAAGCACATTTAAAGTTGTCTAAGCCAGTGTTGTTGTCCTAATTGCCTAAATTTCTGAGATGTATAAAACTATCACATAACCTATAGCTTCACCTCTTGCTTCTGTTGATTTATAAGGTAGCATTTCCTCAAAAAAGCCCTATTTGGTCCCTCCATATGCGAATAGCCTACAACATTAAACGAAACATCGTTGGGAAAATAAAGATCTTTTAGGATTCACTCTTCACAGCAAATAAGCAGAAGCTTCAAATACTTCTTTAATATATTAAAAATAACTTAATAGAGCCCTACGATGTAATCGGCATAGATGACATAATTAAGGCTACAAATGTTTACTGATGAACTAAAGTCTCAAACTTTGTAATGTGGTCCTACAACGTCTGCAGCCGCTGCTTCATTTCTGAGAAGGGAAGATGGCAACTAGCAAACTCACAATAATCAGATTTAATTACACGGAAACCTGTCATCAGTGGTTAAATTGTAGCCTATGCCGAAAAATGAAGTCTAAATATGCGGTCATCTTTTTTCCTCCTTACAAATATTAGGCTACATCATAAAGCCATGTTTTGCCATTAGTTCTTCACATGAAACTAAGAACTGATATCTTTACAAAAACCATACAGGACAAAGTGTGCGTCCTTTCAATACACTCGAAACTCTCAACAAAAGCGGCAAAGGTTAATGTTACTCACTCTGCTTTTAAAATGTAGCTGTCAACAAAAACCTCCTCCGACATGGCCTCGTGCTCCTGCAGCGTCCTAATGTTGGTCTGTCTCACGAGCAGCACTCACAGGTGCAGCGCGCGCCTAAACCAATCACGTTAAGGTCACTTGTCAGGTATGGTGACGCCCTAATGGGGAAATGTAACCAAATAAATGACATTCTGTTAGATGACGAGCGATGGCCAACCCGCTACTTTCAGCCTACACATACGGTGAAGGATAGCAAATTCATATATCGACTTTGACTTGTGAATTCTACTTTACAACTACACGTGAAAAGGTAGGTCGAATTAAATATTAAAGGGCAGCGAATCGACTTTTCGATATGCAATAAAACAACTAAGCGGGCTTATCTAAACCTCAAATCTACAGGTGAACATTTCTATCAAAACCACACAAAAATGTAGAAAAGTGAGAAAAATGGGATATACAAACGTGTTGGTTGTTTGAATGATCAAAAATGAGGATTAAACTAGATGAGACAATTTCGATAAATAATAATAATGTCTTGAATACATCTGTTATATTCCCAAGATTGTAGTTTCTTAGGTTGGATCCAGATGGGTTCTTTTCTGTCTGCAAGCAACAGTAGGTTATTGACCTACAATGTGATGCAAATGAGATGAGAGTGCCAAAAGAAAATACAGCAAGAGCATTTGAAAATGTGTATTTTAATTTTGTTCCCTGGGGGGGGGGGGGTGTTAAGGTGGGACTTTTCAGGTCTGAGTGAGGAATGAAGGCAGAGAATCACATCAATCCATGACAAGACTTCATTTATCATCTTAAATATAATTATGTGCAGTCATTCATTGAGTACGATACATCAGCTCAGCCTAGAAAACATTGATTGTACACAAACAATATATCTCATTTTATAAATCTTGGTTCTCTCTAGGCAACAACGTAAAGGCTAGACTAGTAAGAGTGGCTTTAAATGCCACAAGTAAATGTTCTTTTTTTCAATTAACTGGAGGTTTCACATCTACAGAACAAGAAAAAAATTCCTATTGCCATACATTTTGGTAAATTTCAAAGGAGCAGGTTTGGAAAAGAGGAGTCACATTTTTCTTTTTATATTGCTGTGTGGTGGTCAAAAGGACCAAAAACTGGCAAATCATTTTAGCTCTATGTAAAGCCAAGTGACTGAGTGACTTTCTCAGCTGGAATTGAAATACACTCATTTTACACACTGGTACATACAAGTCCAATAAACACAAGTCAAACGAATCAAAAAATTACAATAATTTTCTGAGATCCATTTTCATTTCACTGTCTTTTATAGTTTGTCAGCCAGTCTTAAAATTGAAATCAAGAAACTTTTAAGCATCATGTACGAACCAGGACGCAGAAGGCCAAGAGTAGAGCGACAGTGCATTCACACATATCTGCACATGTACTTTGGAACGCTGCCTACCATGCAAATACAGAGGAGACAATAAGCAGGAGGACTAACTCATGAACTGATAGAGCTCTCCGTTCTGTTTCCAGATGCTCTCATGAGTCCAATTCAGCATGATTGAACATTCAATGACCTGGATTATCTTCATATGTTCAACACTAGTAAACGCTAACACTCTTTAATCAGTTCATTTAAAATCATTTTTGGAAAGATATCCATTAAAGATACAGTTATCCTGAGGCATGTTTTCACCTAAGTGTGTCTTCTGCTGAACTCAGTTATGTCATACTCAAATTGAGTCATTTGTAAAAAAACAAAAACAATCATACATTGCAGTGTACAATATGTTTACTCCACCCAGTTAACAAACAGAAACATAGAAAAACAGTGATGATTACATTGAACATTACGTAGGTAGTACCATGGAGATATTCTGTGGTAAAACCGTCCCCTTATTGTCAAGTGTTGATGATTGTGTTCTACCAGTATCTTAAGATGACATTTCACAAGATCTAAACAATCATGTATTATTAGTCTTATCCCATTCCCAAACTACTCATTTACAAGATTTGATGTTGAATTATTAGGATTAGTAATATTAGACAACTACTATATAATCTTCAGTGTGAAGAAAGATCATCTTAGACAAGCATATTATTTTAAGAGGACTGAAAGATTTGAACCTGGATGTCAATGAAATGTTCCTTATTAACTCTAAAAGATAAACAAATGAAAAAAGACAAAAACACATGTCAATGTCATCACGCAACAATTAATTAATTAATTAATTGATTCCAATCCATTCAAGTTTGTTGGATCTTAACAGACCTACCTATCTTCAGTAGATAACCGTCTCCTCAGTTCACAGTGAAACCCAGATCATCAATGAACTTGTAGCATGGGTTAAGCTTCCTATAAACAGCTTTTTTTTTCCATTTTGGGGGCTAAATTAGCTTAAAAAAATAACTGAAGACCCAAACCTGTGTTAGTTTGTGAAGCTGTGGCAGTGTTCCTTATATGATCATTGCATAAAGAGTCAGATTTTTCCGGCTACGATTTCAAATCTGTAGCATTTCTGATGACTACAGACTAAGCACTGCGGTACCTGGAGTGTAAAACACAAGCACATGTTGCCTAAACAGTAAACTGCACTCCACTCTTAAGCACAAGACAAACATCTGACTAGAACTAAAATAAGCATAAACTTTCAGAGATGATAGTCAAATTAAGAACAGAATAAAATAATATTCTCATAATTAAACACAAAAATATAACAGTTATTTCAAAGTGACACATTACTTAATTTGAAATGTACATTGATTGGTAATGTCTAGACATTCCATTCCAGTGTACCGCACAAATGCCCTTCACTAATGGTTTGAAATGTTTGTCTGATCGTACTTTTCTTCCTGCAGGCTGCAATCTAAGTAAACTAGCTCTTACATGAGGAGGCACACTGGAAGAGTGATAATGTCTGGAGGAGTTTTGGAAGTAGTGTTTTGGTACATCTGAGCAGGTTTTAACTGTGTCGCCAGTTTTCCTTTCTCTTCTCCATCTGTGGTCACAAGAACATGTTTGGTTGAGGTTTAACTCAGAGCACTGTGAACACTCATGGAGTACAGTAATGACTGTGAACGTGACTGAAACAAGCTCACACGGCAAAATAGTGTTGAGATAGAAGGGAGGGGGGGTGGAGTTAATTAGGAGGGAGGGAAGGTAGAGATGAATGGTTTCTCTGGGTTCAAAGCTCGAAGAGGTTCAGAGTGACAAATAGGAAGTTTGGGGAGAGGCACTAAAAGCCCCCAGACTGTTCATGAATCTGGCCACTTGGTTTCCAGCTGCATTTAGCCCACTCGTCAGTAATACCCTGCATTTCATCAGTCCAATCCTCCTTCATCTGTCCAATCATCTAGCCACATGCTCATCGTCATCCTTTCATTTATCTGCATGTGTTTCCCTCTGTAAGTAAGGGGGTTTCAACAGGTAACAGGTGGAGGTGGTCAAGAAGAAAGGCTGCTCACTGCTCCTCTAACCAGGAGGGCTTGTCGGCCCCTGGAGGCCTCAACTTTATGTTGAACTGCTTCAGCGTCTGCTCCAGCTGCTCCTGGTTGCCAGCAAAGTACGCTGAGATGGCGTTATGGAAGAGAAGGAGCTGCTTGTGCATCACCTTCACCTGAAAAAGAGAGAGAGAATAAGGAAATCAAGAAACAACATTCAAGGTCAAAACAGATTTTTTAAAATTTTTAAGTTAATAAAAAAGGTGGCCCCTCTTTTGCCCACTAACCTTATTCTCCTCCAGGAACTTGAGTTTAATGATGACATCTGAGCGGAGGCGTTCATACTTGTCCTTCTGGACCTGGTACTGTTGCTGAGCAGCATCTATGCGGGCCATGGCCACAGCGTCCCTCGGGCCCAAACTGAGCTCCTCCAGATCTGACCGGTAGGCATCAAACTCCAGCCTGTTTGTGAAAGGTGAAAAAATAATACAGTGTTAAATGCCTTGAAAACCCTGCTCATCAGTTGAAGTGCATAGAAGTTATCATGAGCACAACAATTTAAGACAAAAAATGTGTTAACAGTTTTTTCCCCACCACAGGACAAACTGTGTTTCTGATTGTTCGTGTTTCTGTGCATCACTAGTGATACAGTCAATACGTGTCAAACCAGAGTTAAAAAAAATCAAACATGTAAAATAATACCAAATAATGTAATTTGGTAATAGAAAAAAGGTGGATGTTGTTTGACTTTTATGCTCATATGCCAACATCAAACATTAATCTTAGTCTTTCTCAGAGATGAAAACATCTCCAAAATATATTGTCACTTTATACTGCAAGTGTTGGGATTCTGCCTTGACATTATCTGCTCATGGAAATTATTCTGATAACACCGAACTGCCATTCATTTTCACATCAACGCATTCAAATTCCTTGCAATGTTTTGTATTTAATATTATACAAACACTTCATTGAAAAGTAGTCACAGTGATCTTCATTACAATATCAGCTGAAGTTTTGTTTACATCTCTTCGTCAATCCTCCTTTAAAAAGGGTCAGTCTAGTCAGTGTGTTTGATGGAAAAAATAAGAAGTAAACTTCATGTCCTTACCTGGCATTTTCATACATCTTGATGGTCATCAGGGTGTCCTCCATGGTCTTGTTGACCAATGTGTTGATGCTCGACACAAAGAAGTTAATGGCACCAAGAAGAGTCTCTCCATTCTTACACAACAACTTCTGAGTCTCTGCATTGTAGCCAAATTCATCCTTTAAAGCCAAATAAGATATTTTTTATTACATGATATGATAATGGTTTTAAGTAATGTCTATAAATACATCATCCCTCTGATCTTGTTCATTACACGAGTTAAGACTTTGTAGGTCTTACCCTAAGCTCTGGAGATTTCTGGCTGAGGTCAGCGAAGGTGTCTCCCAGCGCGTGCTGCGTCTGCACCATGTTGTAGAAGTGGTTGGTGAGCGCTCTGGCCAATCGCAGCACATTCTCATATTTCCTTTTAGTGTCTCTCAGCACCTCAATCTGGGCCTCCAGCTCCAGGTCCACAGTCCGGGAACCACGGCCGAAACGCTCCGAGATCATTTGTTTTGTGCACTAAAACAATGAAGGACCACAGAGAATTAAGTAAAACTATTAAACTCAAGGAACATGTTTGATTTCAGATCATCAATAGACACAAAATAAAAAAACACACCCAGTAGCTCTTTATTGTAATGTTATAATTAAGTCATAATTGTATTCATTTTACAGAACCTCAGATACCTTGTAAGTGTTAAGACCCCACTTCTTCACTGTTTCTAGCTTTTCTACAGCCACACCGCGGGTCGCTTCTTCAGCCATCATTGACGAGCTGCTGCTGCTGTGGTGCATGTTGGAACCTGAGAGATATGACCCGAATGAATAAATAAAACAACATGGTAATCAAAACAATTGAAGCAAATAAACACTTAAGCAAACTAAGTGGTTCTGGAAGGTTCTAATAGAATAAGACCCAATAAAGAATCCACTACTTCATAAAGGGATTTAAACTGAGTTGAATCCAGGAAAAGCAAAACCCCAACCTGTTCTCAAATCTGTCTGCTATTATACAAGCGATTTCTATCACCATAAGCCGTTAAACCATTATAGAATGAGTATGGGAGTTAGAGTTCAGTGGTAAGAAAACAGCAGGAAAAGCAAAGGAGGAAATACCAATTAAAACATCCTAAATATTTAAGATATAATATTTATATTAAGCTGTCAGAGGCTGAAAATACTTTAGACAGCAGGAATATTTGGGGTACTGCTCAATCTGATTCTCAAAGTAGATCTAATAAGCAGAACTTCGTCCTCTTTGTTTCCCCAGTACCTTTGTATTCATTTGATTCACTTGCTTTGTGGCAGAGGAAAGAACTGGATGAAGGAACACTACTTCGCCTGGCCTTCATTCGCAAATCTGTGACAGCGGACAGATGGTTGGGTGGGAGGGTTTGGATGAAGGAATGGTCAGGGTGATAATAAAATAGGGTAGGGTGTGGGGTGGCATTTACAATAGGGTCAGGATTTTAAATAATAGTTGGATATTTCGTTTTTCAGACAGAAGTTATTATTAATGTGATGATGCAGCATGCCAGAGAGGGAAAGTTAACGTAGGAGTAAGATGGATGGGAAGGGAAGCAGAAGAGCAGGACGTCAAAATGGAGAGTAGAGTAGGATGACGGACATGTGGAGGGGCACGGTGAAAGGACAGACAAGTAGAAAAAAAGATGAAGAGACAACATTTAGCGCATGACATTCAGTGAAAAATGCAGACATGTGAGTGGTGATGATGAGGACGGGGCCAGTTTGAGTTATTGCAGCAGTACTTATTACTGTGATACCAAAACAAATGGATCAGCCTTTCTTTAAAGACTATGTATGCTAATGACAAAGTTGATAATTTAAGGCGCTTTTATTACAATCATTTTACAAACTTGCTCGTAGTAGTATTTTACTTTTGTAATGAAAACTGAATTTCTTTATACAAATAGACACATTGATAGGCATGAAGATGGCTTCTGCTTTAGTACACAGAAGTTCAGAGATCAGAGTAATTCAGGGGGAAAAAAAGATAGACCCCAACCAGAAGAAGAACGTGTAAAAGAAGTGATGTCATAGAGAGAGAGTCCAAATGTCCGACTGAACGAGCAGCAGCCATAAGTAAGTGTACTGCCATCTCTCTACCGATGGAGTGAAAATTTGAGGTAGATAAAAGGATTAAAGCGAAAGAGGAGATCCTTCCCAGCTGAATAAAGAAGACAACATGTAAAAAAAAAGGATCTTTCCAAAATGAGATATGCACAATGAGAGGATGAGCATTTAAATAAAGTAAAATCAATAAACATTATGTTTGTTGGTGTTGTAACAGACACAGGTCGTGCTTACTGATTCTTAATGTTACCTAAATGGTGGCTGTTTAGCATCTCATCAACATCCCCCAAAACGACATCCCATTTTGGAAACAAGCTCTCCATTAATAACAAAACTTAGAGCTAAAAATCCACCTAATCCTTGAACTGGGATCCTTTTGTTAAACTCAGCATTGTAGCGCACTGCGGGGCCTGAGAGAGAGAGTGGGACAAAGATGTTAGAAAAGGTATCAAATAAGTCGTAATGAGAGAGTTGCCGTTTCCCTTGGCTTCAGTTAAACTGCTCAACTGCTGCCTAGGACAATTCAAAACAAAGCAAGCTGTATTGTTTGGGGAGAGCTGGTCCTTTCCAATTGTCTGAATGACATCAGTGGAATTAACAAGTTTAGAATATTTATTTAGTTATTTAATCAATATGTCCATCAAGTCTGTCCATTACCGCCGTGGTCATTGCTTGCTTTGTTAAATAATATATTTGTGGGGCGCTTGGGTAGCTCACCCAGTGCAGCGGTACTATTATCACCTTTAGCCCGGTTTATATCACCACAGGTGTTTTACTGCATTCTAGAGCCCTGGGCCAGACTGTTTTCTTAATCCCACTCTCGCTTGATTTTAGTGCCTGTACCCGCACCTAGTGTGTCCAAACCCTTCCACACCCGCAAAGATTCTGACATGCATCCATCCATCCATCCATCCATTTTCTTCCGCTTATCCGAGGTCGGGTCACGGTGCCAGCAGGTGCAGTAAGTCAACCCAGATTTCCCTCTCTCCAGCAACACTTTCCAGCTCCTCCTGGGGGATTCCGAGGCGTTCCCAGGCTAGAGGAGATATATAATCCCTCCAGCATATTCTGGGTCTGCCCCGGGGTCTCCTCCCAGTTGGTCGTGCCTGGAAAACCTCTAAAAGGGAGACGTCCAGGAGGCATCCTTAACAGATGCCCAAACCACCTCAACAGATTCTGACAATTCTAGTGAAAAGTTCAGAAAAAACCAACAAACACTGTGTTCAGACAAACAAATAATAAAACAAATCTAATATGAGAGCTTTGATCTCCTTTCCTGCATCATTTGTCGATTCATTTTTAACACAAGAACAACTTGGGGACGGCAGTGATTCTTTTAACCGCATTGTCCTACAGCAATGTTAAAACAGCATGCTCCCCAGAGATCTTCCTTGGATCCCTCAGGGCCCATGGAATCAAAATTTTACCTAATGTTACCTTTCCTGGCTATCTACTGCATTCACTCTCAAATGGGGTCTACATCCCAAGAAAATAATCTTAATTCAAACATCCTTTTCGGGACTGAATGCAGAAAATACATTTCTATTCGAAGAATAAATGTTTTTTTTTTTTTTTTTTTTTAAATCAATCAAATTCAATCTGCATCTCTGCTTCCTTCCATGTCTAAACATAGAACCACCAACACTGAGTAATAAAGACCACAGGCACATTTTGAGATACAGTGGAGGCTTACTGTAGGCTATGTATTAACCACTACAATCGACCCCCAACCACTGCAAATTACTTCCACTACAATCTCCTGGGGAAAATGAGAGGAAGCCACAGAAACCAAATACCTCATTGTCTTCTGAAGAAACTCCCAGAATAAGAGACAGCAGAACAAGTCAAAATGGGACAGAGTGACAGAACAGCTGAGGAGATAAGACAGAGGAGATTTATCTGTACCTTTGATTGAGCTGGTGGGGATGATACCCTCTGCAGCTCCTCCATAACCCCCAGACACAATGCTAGTCTCGTTGAGATTTGGACCTGATACCATCACCTGCTGTAAGTCCTGCAAAGTGCAGAAATAAAATAAAAAAGAACAACAACAACAAAGAAAGGGATGAGGGTTTTGGTTAGAGACACGTATACAGAAGATTATGACATCAGTGTTAAACTCAGACAGTGTAGACAATGTATGTTAAAGTCTAGTCACTAGAGGGAGACAGACACTACTATGTTAGGAAGGTTAGTGTATACACAATCTTTAAGCAACCTTTAACTTCATCCTCTTATCTGGTAGCCAACTTTAGGGAACTACACAGCAAACACAGCACTTAAGAACCCTGTTAATAATCAACCTAACTAATGACTTGGACTGAACCTCCTGCCACAATGGGAGCAAGCAAGAAGACTGCAACAGCACAGCTGTGATCAACCTTAAGTCAAACCCAAGCAGTGACCTTAATGATCTATGCAGCAGGAAATGCTCAAGCAAACTCTTCTTTCCTGCCAAAATAATCACAGGCTGCAGTAAGGCTCTGAATCATGAGGGGAACGGTGTTATGAGACACATAATCCATCTTGTGTGTTTTCCTTAATTTAACTCACAGCTTTCTTTTGTTTGCCTTCCTTCTTAAATATCAGCAAGTTATGAAAAAAAAAACATGTAAGGGATTTGTGAAAAAGGACAATCTAGCCTGAATAGATTTCTCACTTAGGCAAGCCATATGTGTTCCTAAAACAAACAGGTTTAAATTTGACTCCTGTCTGTGCTGGGAGAAAGCCTCTTATATCATTTGCTGCAAACACTGCACACTCAGTGACTCAACTCTGAGCAAAGACCCATAGCGCCTATCATAAAAATTTAAACAGCTGCATGATATTTAGATTCCTGAAACCTTGGGCTTGGACTCTTCAGTAGGAATGTGATAAGGAAACACAAGAGTTATGGAAAGGGAGGTAGCCATTTCCTTTGTGCAAACATTAACACAAATAGTACACTGACACTAAGAAGAGGAAGCAAAAGTGACTTTGCTGTGCTCTGTGCTGCTGTTGGAGGTTAAACAGCATCTACTAGGACAAATCTGCCTGAATATACCTGAAATGTGTGAAGGCTTATGAGGTGTTTAGTCATTGTAAGCACTCTGTTAGCTTTGTTGCAGAAACACAACAACATTGTTCAATTATGACTTAAACATCAATATAAAGCAAGCATTGGTAAGTCAAATCACCGCTACAGTGAAAGTATCATATGATGAATATTAGTGTGACAGTGTGATGTTAATCCAGCCCCTTCCAACATGTTCACGTTAGGTAAGTGCACACAGAATCTAGACTATAAATATGTTAATCAAATGAAAACAGAATGTAAGGTTTAGATTTCAGTGTTAGCCGACAGTTTTTTTTGTTGCTAAATCTACTTGAAGGAAATTATTTTTGAAGGAAATCTTCTAAACAATGTTAATTTCTAGAGACTCCTATCAAGTGTAAGTAGGAGCTAAGTTAACAGAAAGCACAAGTCACGCTGCACAGCGGTTTGCCATTCAAATGAAATATGTGACATTTTGTGTTATAAAACAACAAAAGTGATGCAAGGCAATTTAATGCCACATAAAGTCAAACCACTGAGCAGCACTACACACCATCATTAACACATACACACAAATGCACAAATGGCCTGCTCACCCTGGTGCCTCTGGAGCTCCCTACCTTCTCATCTAAGCTCCACTGCAGTTTTGCAGCCTGCACAGAGATGGAAGAGGGAGAACAGACAAACACAAAACAACAACAAAAAGGAAAAGGGACAAAAAGAAAAATAATCCATGACTGAAATTATGAAACAGGATAGAGTGATGCAAAGGAACTCCAAGAAAAGGTCATTGTAATGTCCACAGACAGCAGGGATGGGGAATGGAGAGCAGTGATGAGTGATATCAGAGCAGGTCAGGTCATTGAGCTGGTTTATATTAGGTTCATGTTTCGTGGATCATGTAGTCCATATCTGGGATGATATGGACTACATGCAACTTTGCCATGATATTATTCCATCACTGTCTGCACAAAGAAAGAACGGGTTCCAATTCAACAGAACAAATATAAACGTATCATTTAACAAGACATGAGCAAACATCAAAAGTGACATTAAGATTAAAGAAAATAAATCAAGAAAGAACTGTGCGCACACACAAAATCATCCACACAAACACAAAACCTTCCAGGAAAGACAATTTTCTATTTGAGTAGTTCATGTCACATGTTACCTTAAAGATTCATTCTAGCACCGGTGCCTAATTTCTAGAGTTTCACATCATAATTTAAATATTCAAAGTGTGTCAAGATGGATAGTTAGACCAAAAAGGAACTGAAGAAAAGGACACAGCCTCTTCAACTACATTTCCTCCTTCGCTTCAGTCTATATATAACTGCAGCCTTGTGTTGTGGCATCTGCTCGATGTGGAAGAAAAGTGACGTAGACACTGATCCCTCCCTGGATACTTTGTTGACACAGTGCCTGTTCCCTGAGATAAAGCAAACTACAGCACCTTTAAGTCATCAGGAAATAATGTGGCTGTCATATCTTAACAGTAAGTTGTAAGAGGCTTACGGTCTTATAGTCTGTTTATACAGAGATATGGCATTAAAAAAAAATCAGGAAACTATGGCATTGTAGACACTCCCTGAAAAAGAGAGGCTCTGCATAAAAATGCCACAGACAACTTTTTCTTTTTACAAAATAAATGTGCAGTTTCTTTTTTAATCCTTACCACACGATTGGGGTATTTCTAAATTAAAAGCACATGTATTCACCTCTGAGAAACTATAAGTAATGGCACATCTTAAAATGCTGTTGAACCAGAGAGCTACTGTGATGCATCTTATTCTTTGCCAGGATGTTGCTTGCAGTCAGTCCTTTGTCTGTAACTGTGAAGCTGTCACTCACCATTCCTGCCCTGACACAAGAGCACAGCTACGACATCTAAAACCACATTTCTGCTCCTTCTAAATCAGCCAATCTTCATCTCCACATAAATGAGACAGACTGCTGCAGCTTAAACTAAAAACGCTGCGTGGCAGATACCAATCTGGTTTCAGAGGGCTTTCACCCAAGGACAAAGCACAGCCACTTTCAGATTAATTGCGGAGTTGCTATGACAACTGGTTAATATCCAGCACCAAACAGTGCAGATAAACACTTCATATCCATGAACACTTTCAACAGAGGAAGAAAAAAACCAATGGTTAGACACTTGCTACATCTTGATAGCTTCGTGAGAAGGCAGGCTTTTCTTTACTACTGTGAAGAAGCCACTTCAAGTTTGGTGAGCAAATAACAAGTTAACTGGCCGTGCTTCTTCCAGGATCTTCAGTCTGTTTGCGCAACAAGGTGTGCCTTTGGACGCAAGAACCTGTTCCACCTATTTTACCCTGCGACTCTGATGTTACTTCATGCTCACAGACTCTGACTTTAACACTACTTACAGTGATAGCAACACAGCGTCTTTGACTTCAAACGAGACTCTGCAAATGATCATTTAACACCTGGAGGGCGAGAACTACATCAAGGCTGAACTCATTGATGTAGTTCTCTCCCTTCAGGTGGCGTTCCTGCTGAACACATACAGTAGGCTTTGTACAAAACCCCATTCTAACTTAAGGACTTCCAGTCCGAGCTTCTTTAAATAAGCTAGCACCAGGCTATCACAGTTGTCAGGCTGTATATAGAATCTAACAACATTATACATTCCTTAGCTGTATTACATTTACAGCTATGTAGTTATTTTAATATTATTTGATCACATATAAAACCTATTACTGTAGGCTAGGGCAAACTTGTATTTGTAACTTTTGTATTCAGAGGAGAATGATCATTGAGCTCCTGTCACATACTAAAAAATAGGGCCAATCTAGTTAACAGCCGGGCGCTTCACACATGCTCAAAATTGCATACAATGAATTTGGGACGGACTTTATAGTCAGTGTGACATCATACTTAGTTAGAATAGTAAGAAAGAATGCAATTTTTTGACACATAGTAGTAAGGTTTATGAAATACACATGAGATGTGTGTGCAACACTGAACATGTGGCCACAGGAGCTGTTAAAGAGAACAACTGGTTCCCATGGAGACAGCTGGTCTCAAACACCTGATTTCCCAGGAGGAAATCTCCCCACAGCTGTCACTAAGCAGACACATCTTAGAGTCTATGACAGGTAAAACATACTGGAGTAAAAGATCTACCCAGGCAGAGGAAAATATTCAAATTCAGAGAAAGAGACTGTGATTGATATTTTTGTACTGAGTCAATGAACACGCATACATAAATTGAAAGAATAAAATGAAGTGGCTGACTGGCTGCATTCACACAGCCAGTGTTCAAGACTGACAACAACTGTATTAACTAAGAAGAGGCAGTGCAATGGCTGACAGGGGAGGACCTATTAGGAGAAGCAGCCCTGTTGCTTGGACGCAGAAAGCGCTGCTCATCAGCACGAGTTCACACTCCTCTCTGAACTCCCTCAGGTCATCAGAAAAAAACACCAAGTGTAAAGTCAATCAGATGACTGGTCTTTCAAGATTTGTGAAAGATAGACGGATAGTTGGCTTAAACATGTAGGTTTCATTGTCTTCATGCACTCATTCACTTCATGTGAATGATTTGACTTTCAAAGATAGCACTGCATGACTGAATACATTATCAAGCTAATGTTTCCTTGAGGAAAAACTCGGATGGCGCAGAAGATATACTTGAGCTTACACTTTAACTGAAAAATAAAATAATTATTTAAACCAATAGAAAATAAGCAACTTAACAAAAATGAATAGTGTGACTATAAACAAATGTATTCTTTTTACGGACTGCAAAATCGCATCATCGCCGACAATTGTCAGGGGCCAAAAATGTTTTAGCAGGGATCTTAAACAAATTAAAAATGAGATGAAATATGCAAGAGCAAATTAATAAGAATTACAGCAAGAGTATTAAATGTACTCTACTGTTTTTGAGATACAAGTTATCTGTCAGGACCTTGGTGTCATTGTCCTAAAATAGGTGAACAACAACTACACAGGAGAGTCTCAAATTGTTACACGCTCACCCACCTGTTCAAGGCTGTCGTCTTCTGGTAGTGTTCCTGTGTCGCCATTACTGTTGATAGGAATCTCCATTGTGGCAGCTTTACTCATAATGCTGTCTGTCATAGTGCACGGTGTCTGTTCGAAAGAAATAGAGATAAAGAGAGATAAAGCATGGGTATAACAGAAATGGCTTCATGTGAATAAAGGGAAAAAGTTACAGATGGAAAAACAGCGAAGCCTAAATGCTACTTTGAACAGGAAAGACCAAAGAACGTAGTCAAAACAGCCAAATCATTAGGCAGATGGGAATATAATGGCTGCTCACAAGGGAGGAGGTGATTTTCAAAGGGCAAGACATAAATACAGCAGACCTATGAAAGCCCCAAACACACAAGCCGCCACTACAATGAGCTGTGTTGAAGTGGCCACTCTTCTCTGCAGCTCAATTACAGGACTGGACTGTGACAGCACTCGCTTTGCAAAAAAACAAAGACTAGAGGAGGAGGCTGCAAAATGGTTTACATCACAGATGTCAAGTCAGACAATGTTGTAAGAGGTCAAAGTGATTTTTCATGCTACATACTGTATATTCACTTCTTTCAGTGTCATCAAGTATGCATGATAACATATGAAAAAATAATGTTGGACAAGAAGCAATATCGACCCTATTTTTGGCTTGGGTTGGAATAATGAATTCACATCCTACTGAATTCACTCCTACAAACACTAATGGCCGATTTGTGTGTATTGCAATATGTGTGTGAGAGACATAATCAAATCAAAGCCAATTTGAGGACCTTAAAGACACTTGTTAAGGTTCAACGAGGCAGCAAATGCAATTGTTATTCCTGGTAAACCAAACACCTGGAAAACTTCAGCCTGTAAACTCTACACAAAGAGATAAACGGAAGCCCATAGCTCAGCATATGATTGAGGACAAACTTGTGGGTGTTCGGTGGTGCATTGATTTTCCCAGTTTCAGATGGAGAACAACTAGCTTCCACTTAACAGCAGCTGGGATTAAATATTAAGATTTAACACATTAAAGTTAGTAGCTGCCAAAAGATGAACAAATATGATATATTTCCCAATTATATTTGTCTCAAAATGTAACGTGGTCGTGCCATGTTTTGACTACAAGTTAAACACTTAGGATATGTAATCTTTTAAGATTACTACTCTATACTAGGCTTACAAATAATACAATTTAAAAATGTATTTGTGTTAATTCATAGCACCAATGGAAAACAGGGAGGCTGACAGGATTCACAGGAAACAACGCTTATGAAGCATGTAACTATTAATGAGTGTGAATATGAATTATCAAAGTTAACCCAGGGCGAACATTTGGATTAGTTAACATAAAAAAAAAAAAGCTTGGTGTCCTGGATTTTCTGCACATGTAGCTGACTGTAACATGGCAGGTTATAGTGGCAGTCAGATCATTGCTGGCACAGACATTATAGATGTTGTTTGATGGGAGAAACGAGAACAGTTTGTTTACATTTGCCTAACTGGGCGTTTCATTTTAAATGCCATGGTCTGTCCATTTCCTGAGGAATGACACGTCTCTGTTGACTCTCCGTGAGAGAAGCTCTCTTCAGCAGTTCTTACACCAACTTCTATGTCAAATGTTGGAAATGTTTAAAAAACAAACCTTTTCTTTATTAGTTGAAAAAACAAATAGTTAAATGGAAACAGGTTGAGATCGTATATTAAATTACGGTAAACATAATAAATAACCTAATGATTCTATTAAGGCTTCCAGGTTACAAAGTACCATTGACAATAAAGAAGTACTAAGAGCGCAATTTATAAATATCCAGACCGCCAGGACAGGTGCACCTGCTCAGGTGCATGTTTTTCCATGCAGACATATGGTGGGTTCAATAAGCCCAACATAGTGTCGGTTCTGAAAAAAAATAAAAGCACATAATCTCTATCTATTAAGAATTGGCATTATATTGACGCAGTTTTATTGACGGTGGAAATAAATACGGCCTGCGTTTAGTTCACGTGTTAAGAAGATGGTTAAAAAAAAAAACTACAAATAATAACAGCAAGCTTACAGTGGAAATAAAGCTAATATTAACTGTATAAGATTCAAACTCGTTTTCCAATACATACTGCTTTATTATCGTTTTGAAACGGGTTGACTTACGGTGTATTTGGTCCCGTCGTGAAAACAGAGCTGATCTGGAAGCTAGCGAGAGAGCTAATATCAAGCTAGCGGCAGTGCATCCCAATACACGCGCGGCTGGAGACTGGTTTGCTCTTTTTGTCCGTACCAGGAAAAAAAAAAACACAAGTGGCAAACAACGCAGCGCTGTTATCTACAAATATCTGTGTGTCATGTCAATTTAAAGTCTAACAAGGTTTTTCTTCTGTCTCTACACAAATAATCCTCTATCCTGTTCCTTAATTATGCCAAGAGGAACGCTTTACGGAACTGACGACACCGACGGATTCATTTTTGCAGACGCGCTACGATCCAAAGATCCTCTATTAGAAAGACGATGGATCTCTAGTAACAAACGCAAATCCTGCTGTAATCATACCAAGTGATAAAGTGCCAGGCCAGTTTATAGTGGAAACAGTGGATATATTGTAGATATATATTCATATTACATATATAATACGATTGTTTTTCTCTCTTGTGTAGAGTCTCTGCAAAGAGATGTTTTTCATTATTTTTTTAAATGCAGAAAAATTTGTAGAGAGCTATTTGATGCAGTGGCAGGATACAACTTGTATACGATCTGGCACAATTTCTTTTAGTTATCTGCGATCATAGAGTGTAAATATTAGGTCTGCAATATATTTTTGGAACTTTTTAACCTTTTAAAACATTTTAACTGCATTTAATGGCTGATTTATAAAACAGATTTTACTGTAGGCATATCAAATAAATACTCGTCATTTTTGTAACTAATAATTTGTAAGCATGCCACCTTCCAAAGTAGTAGTTCCAAATTAATTTCCCCCCCAAAAAAATGTTTTTCAATGGAGTGCGTTAAAATATTTAAAACTATCCATGTGAAAAATTCGAATGACTACTTCGTACATTGACACTTTATTGGAGTGAGAGTTCTTACATTTTCCTCAAATAAACTACAGCACATCTTTGGGAAGATCTTGCAGGTGATTTGCAGGTCCATTCTTAGTCCAATCCCACAGCTGGTGGCTGTACATTAACTCAGTTAAGTGTAAGTTATTTAGTTTTTTCCCTAAGAAATGCTAGGAGTTCTGACTGCTGTGGATCCAAAGGTTGGATGCTGAAGTCCAATATTCAAAGAAATCCTGCCCCCTGTGGCTTCAAGTCCAAATTAACTGTGATGATATAATTAGAGCATAATGATTTGAGTTGATAAGTGCTTTGAAGTAACTAAGAGAAACATTCAATGAAATTGTATTTGTGACTTATTACAACGGTATCATGAGAAAACAAATAACATTGCCTTTTTGGTAAATCACAAAATTTGTGAACATAAGCCTTCAACTATTTTTGAAGGTGTTGCATTTTTCTGGATAAGGCCTATAATGCATGTTGCAACACACAACAAATAACACAGTGTCCTCTTCACAGATAGAGGACAATTAGTGATGTTAAACAAAGACATTGAATCTATTGTGTGGGAACAAACAAGTTAACACCTCACTTCAACCCCAAAGTTGTATGGCTTTCATTTGCATACAGTAGGCTAAATGAAAGCTTCAGTACCGGGCTAACATTGGGCACCTGTCATGCAAGTTACAGGAGAAATGCACATATTTTATATTGTTGTATAGTTTTCTCTTCCCTTATTTTCTACCTGCTCATTGGTTGCACAAGTCTCTAGAATTAAATCATAATGTATGATTTGTCACCCCCTTCACTTATGTGATAATCTTCCTTAACCTGCTTGCCTGTGGCCTAAGCAAAAATGAGCTACAATACTGCCCTCTTTTGGTAACTGTGAGTACATGATCAATTGATAAGGTGCTGGACTACAATGTTTTGAGGCTTTTTTAAATGTGTCAAACTTTGTCATAAAAATGCTTTGCACACATTTGTTTTTTTGCGTATGCCATTCTATTAACTATAATTTATAAAACAAGGATTTTGTTTCAGTGCTGCTTTGTGAAACATATGAACTATTAGGACTTCAGTATGAAGTGTTGCAGTCAACTGTACCACTTACATTTTTTATTTAACTTAAGTCACACAGACTTAACACTAGAACGACCAAGGCAGTCATTTTGACTGTTTTTTTAAATTTTGCAATGTAATAACTTACTGAAAATAAAACCTATATAACAACAGGACCATGACTTTTCCTAAATGTGTCTTTATTTTATTCTAGCATTGTTATTTTATCAAAAACACAAAAGAGTTTTGAGTATTTCTGCCTTGAAAGTCCATAGCGGTCATATTGGCATGCATTATAGCCAGTGTATCATTTCAGTATTTGCTACTTTTTCCCCGCTCTTGAAGGTGCCCATCGCTGTTGCCTAGCAACTATTGTTTATAACGCTGGAGCCAAGGAGGAAAGAAAGCTCACCCGCCCAAAACCATATAGGCTAAAAAGAATAGAAGACATACATTTGAATTAATCAACATTGAAAAGACAGAATAGAGTAAATTAGGATCTGATTTAGAACAGAATAGAACAAAATGTCAGGAAGGAGGAGGATGACTGCCACAGAGGCTATAGCCATGCTCCAGAGCCTTGATGAGGCAGAGGCTGATGGAGGCGCAGGTTCGGATCTTACAGCAAGTGTGTCCCTGACATTTGCTGACCAAATATCTGCGTATCTGTGTCATCTTGTACAAACCTGCATTTTGTATGACACATGTTTTTTTTAAAGGTGGTCTTACATGAAGGATCAGATGTAAATTATGCAATTTATTTTTACAAAACATTATAAATAACACAAAATTATTGTAAATTAAATAACAGGTAACTTTACCAAACCTGACATTAGACATTAGCTGTCAATTAATGTTCTATAATAATCATCTACTCTTAACACTTTGTCTAAGCAACATCATGATAACTTCAAATGAGACCGACTGATGCTAACTGACTGCAATGGAACCACACATTGATTATTGTGACATTTATTGATATATAACGACAGTAACTCTTCATCAAAATCATCCATCTCAAACTCCCAGAGCTGCACCCTCAGGGACGTTTTACTCTCTTCCAGCAGCAGGTCAGTCATGTCTTCAACAGTAAGCTCAGATGGAAGCTGCTTCTTCTGTTGAAGGTTTAACAGTTCAGCCACCACTGCAACCTTCACTTTAAAGGATTGAATGTGCCAACAGATCTGTTTGGCACGTTCATAAATCGGTGTGTCAAACAGCACCCTGATCGACTTGTAGACTCCTCTACTTCCCTCCATGAAGTCCATGATAAACCTGTTTCTGTATTAAAATACAGAAAAGGATAACACAGAACAACACGGACAAAACAACAAACAAGACCAAATAACTTTCGAACGCTTTGAATACAACAATTTCTCTAACCACTCTCTTTCACAACTATCTCTCACGCCTATCTCAAACCCACAAACTCCAAAGTAGACCAAAAGCATTGAAGCTCCAGTCTTCAGAACAGATTTTATGAGATGCTGTGATGTCACAATCAACAACATTCTCCAACTCAACATCATTTAGAACTCTTATCGCCATGGTAACACAACACAGAAGATTAACAACAGCTGGAGATGTTTCCAAGGGTCTACAATTACACATTTTTTTTAATCCTCATCTATTCCCTCCTTAAATTAGAGCAATGCAAAAATAAAATGGCAGTTTTTTGTTGACATCATCCTCCAAGGCAAAGTTGCATCATCATTGATATCAGTTTATGCACCAAAACAAAACATGCTAGGTAGAAATTATGAAAAAGTCAGATGAGGTTGTTAAACAAAGTAATTTAATAATTTGTGGATTTAAGAAGCATCAGCCAGTACATACAGAACTGCACTCAAATAAACAATATGTGAATCACGGCAGAGAACAATCCATTTTAAATGGCTTCACATAAGATCATGGGTTAAGTGTGTCAAAAAGAACAATTATATTTTGGTAATATGATGAATGTTACTAAATGGTTGAACAGAGCATCTGCTCTTAAAGCACAAGCTTCTTGCTCTCATTTTTACAAGCTATGAATAATGCACGGTGACGGTGCTGGATGAGATCCTACACTCACTGACAGGCCGAGGAGACTGAAAAAGCTCTGCAGTTTGTCAGTCTGAAGAAGGAGTTGGGAAGTGAAAGCCGGGAAAGAATGAGAATTTTTATCAATGGACAGATTTGAGACTCAAAGAGTTGTGGAGCCAAAAGACACTCTCATGGTATTTTTTGGAAGGGGCATGAAATGCCATATGGGATTTTTGGAAAATGGAAGTGTGAATGAATGCGGTACCAATTTTCCAGCTGTGTGTGTGTTTCTTGGGTTGTGCCAGTCTTTTCCAGTGGGCATGTCTTTTTGCAAACCTTCTTTCATATGCTAAATACCTTAAAACACTTACAATGATTTACAGCTTGCAGACATGTGCACATTATAATCCCAAGCAACGTAATTAGCCACAGCTGCTGCTACTGCAGATGTGTGAGTGTACAGTGATGTCCACTCTAGTTATAGCCTGCAGCAGTCACACTCAAGACATCATCAATTTATTCTCATTATGATAATCAGTTACTTTCACTGTAACATAAGTAACATGTGTTTTTACGAATGAGGGGATAAGATAATAATACTTGAGATCATTTGCATCCTAGTGTTGAAAAAGTGGGACTGATTACCTAAGACTCCAATGGAGGAAGGGTCCCTGGGTGCTTTTTTTTTATGCAATGCTTAGAAACAGAACGTTTTTATTGTCAGGTGAAGTGAGCCACTATCTTTTTCACTGATAAAAAAATAAAGTAAACTAAGATCTAAAGGAAATTATGTCAATTTTAAGATCAATACAAGTGGCTGAACCTTATTAAGTTATGTTTATTGTAAGTTATTTATTAATGTCAGCAGAATTTTTCATTCAAGAATAATAAAAAAAAAATGTAATTCAGCCTGTACAGATGGCCTCAAGAACATTTATTTTGGGGGATATTAGTCTTGTTTTTGTGCCCAATATGAAAAAGAAAGTTTAACAATTTGGGTGGTTCGAAAGAAAAAAAATGTTTTTCATAAAGATACTAAAGCAGAGGTGAGATTATTCCACAGAAGCATGAATTTTAAAATGAATCATTCAAGAAACTTTACTTTAGAACATTTCAATGCTGTCCATGCTGGGTTCTACATATTTCATTTGATTTTGTGTACATTTGGAGACATTTTTGTTGGTTATTTATGTAAAAAAAAAAAAAAAAAAAAAATGTAAATGGTTTTAAGCTTATAAAGTGCTTTTCTAGTCTACTCAGAGCACCTACCCATTCACACACTGATGGCAGAGGCTGCTAGTAAAGAGTCCATCAGTA